GGAAGCTCACAGACCCTATTTCAGAACTAAGCCAGGACACGCCTATGATCCAGCTACATGGGAGGCAGAGCACTGCACTTCCTTATTGGGTGTGGTGTGCTGAGAGGGAGCCAGGCCCAAACATAAGGTGCTGTGTGCAGCCCAAAGGCTCTGGGTTTATGTCATTACAAATGTGTCCTTCTGGGTTTCTGAGAAAAAGACATTCTCAAAGGATGAGGCAGGTAGCTTGGGAAGCTGTGCAGGAGGAACAGGACAAAAGTTCAAGGGCAGCTGGGTGTTGGCGGCTCACGCCTGTAATTCCAGCTACTTAAGAGGCGGAGGTCAGGAGGATCAAGGTTCAAGGCCAGCCCAGGCAAACAGTTCATGAGGCCCTATCTTAAAAAAAACCCGTCATAAAAAAGGGCTGGTGAGGAGCTGGAGACATAGCTCAGTGCATGCACAAGGCCCTGAGTTCAACTCCCAGCACCACCAAAAGAGAAAAAAAAAAAAGGGCTGGTGGAGTGGCTCAAGTGGTAGAGCACCTGCCTAGTGAGTGTGAGGCTCTGAGTTCAAACCCCAGTACTGCCAGAAACAAAGCTAGTTCAAGGGGAAAGCGGCCAGGGCCTTTCCCACTGAGTTCATTCTTCCTGAGCAGGTGAACGCTGAAGCCCACGTGAGAAAGCTGGAAGAGAGCTTAGCAGAAGCCGAGCAAACCAGCTGAGCCGGATACACACGCACACACACACGCACACACACACAGAAAGCAACAGGGATCCTCTGAGAGGCAGAAACAGAACGTGCTTCTCTCCCCAGAGCTTTCAGGGCCTTGGAAAATTCACATCCAATCCCCCAGTGATGAGACAAAGGTTTTATTCCATCTGCTGAATACTCCAAGGAATGCATTTACAGTGTAAAATAGGGAGCTGTGTACTAATCGTTACCTATCCCCTGTCACCTGCCCTGTGAGATCAGCAGGACGGTCACTGATACTGGCAAAATACAACTTTCAGCCATTTTAAAACAGAACCTACATACGAATATAAAATGAATTTATGCAGCCAGGTGCAGTGGTTTACGTCTGTAATCCCAGCTACTCAAGAGGCAGAGATAGGGAGGATCATGGTTTTGAGGCCAGCCCAGGAAAATAGTTAGCAAGACCCCATCTCAACCAATCAGCTAGGGGTGGTGGCGGGAACCTGTGGTCCCAGTTATGCAGGAGGCCATAGGTGATTGAGATCTGTGGCTGGACGAGACCCTATCCAAAAAATAACTAAGACAAAAAGGGCTGGGAGTGTGGCTCAAGTGGTAGAGCACCTGCCTAGCCTGTGCAAGTCCCTGAGTTCAAACCCCAGTACCACCTCCAAAAGACCGACAGAGAGAGAGAGAGAGAGAGAGAGAGAGAGACAGAGAAAGTCATGTGGACCCTAGCCACCCTTGGCCCTTGCTCCCTCCAGAGCCCTTTGGACAGCTGGTGGGTGGCTTAGTGCAGCCCCTCGATGTGATTCAGTGGGCCAAGCGCCATATTTATTGGAGACTTTATCTGCCATGCCTGGGTAACTTCGGATCTGGTTGGGAAAGCGCTACATCACCCTGGATTTCTTTCATTCCCTTGTCACCCAGCCGAAAACAGTGAACCGAGCTAAGTTCCAGGAACGCCAGAGTCGGCTCAGTCAGATCCTGTGGATAAAGACACCGCTGACATCCCAAGTGAATGATGAGAGAGACAGCTGGACGAAGAGTCCAAGGTTTGTTGGGGGTGGGCTTGATCTTGAGAGCTGATTCCTTAAAGGAAGTTACAGGTTAGGCTGGACATGGGGGCTCATCCCAGCTACTCAGAGGCAGAGATTGGGAGGACTGATGTTTTAGGCCAGCCCAGGAAAAAGTTATTGAGACCCCATCTAGAGCAATAAACTGGGTGTGGTAGTACAAGCCTGTGATCTCAGCTATGTGGAAGGCTATAGGTAGGAGATGGGCAGAAAATGGGAGAACTTATTTAAAAAAAAAAAAAGCCAAAAAAGAGCTGAAGGTGTGGCTCAAGTGGTAGAGCACCGGCCTAGCAAGCACAAGGCCCTGAGTTCAAGCCTGGCACTGCCACAAAAAAGGAAGGAAGGAAGGAAGGAAAGAAAGAAAATTACAGGTCATGAAGGTGCAGAATGAACACCAGAAAATACATGATACAATAGCTAGCACAAAACTTAACTACAAAACTAGAGTGTGCCAAGCACGGTGGTACACTCCTATAATCCCAGCACTTGGAGGGTGACACGAGGATCATGGGTTCAGGCCTGAGCTACATAGCAAGGCCGTTTCCTAACAGCAATAAACAAGCAGAAAATCTGTAGTATGTGCAGTGAGTGACTACATGAAATTACACATCCCTGGGGATAAGGAGGAAAACAAGGCACCAATGTTGTGTATTATAATTACGAGCCTTTTCCCCCTTAACCTGGGGATGGACATCACATCTATCTGAGGGAGGCCATGGAGCCACAGCCCATGGCCTGACTTGCTCGTCCCCACAATCCTGTAGCCTCTCCAACACCAAGCATGATCTGGATCTGCTGGAGGAGCAGCTGGAGGAGGAGCACGGAGGGAACTTGGGGCTCCAGCACCTTGTGTCCATGCCATCCAGAGAAGGCCAGTGAGCCTCACCCTTGTGCTGGGACAGCTGGGAGGGCCGAGGGTGTGGCTGTGCTGGGGCCAGGTCAACCCTGAAAAGGAAGTTCACAGACTCCTTTAATAGGAGCACAGAGGGGCCGGGTGTGGTGGTTCACGCCTGTAATCCCAGCTATACAGGAGGCAGAGGTAGGAAGATCATAGTCCAAATCTGGCACAGGCAAAAGCTTCTCTGTTTCACTCCTTTCCACAGCACTTATGACCTATGTGTGACCTATCACCTGCCCTCCCCAGGTTCTTGAACCGCAGTTGTACAAAGGTGCAGACCTTAGTCTATTTTATTCACTGCCTGCAACAATTCATGGCACAAAGTTTTTGTTGGATGAATGAATGAAGGAACAGCAGTGCTCCCTCCTCTGAACACTCCACTCTTGTCTGCATCTTTTCCAACACTGGCACTAGAACTCTGTACCATACACCCTGACCCCCACCAATGTGAGGCCAGATCTGTAGACTCCTATGTTTTCTTGATGGTCCCACCCATTTGGCCCTTTTCCACAGGAGGAAGCTGGCTGTCAGGCTCCAAGAAGTGGAAGAGGCAGCTGAAACTGCCCAGGCCCAGGCTGCCTCCCTTGAGAAAAATAAACAGAGGCTCCAGGCAGAAGTGGAGGACCTCACCATCGACCTGGAGATGTGCGAGACTGTCACGAGTGTGGCAGCCCAAGAGCATGGGACACAGGGTCTGCCTTCAAGAGTGCCTGGACACAGGCTCCTGCCTGATCACCTGCTTATAAACTCTTCTGAAACTTCTTTTCCTTTTGTGGTACTGGGGTTTAAACTTGGGGACACCAGCACTTTACCACTTGAGCCACACCCCCAGCCCTTTTCGCTTTAGTTATTTTATAGACAGGGTCTTGTGCTTTTTTCTCAGGCCAGCCTTGGACTGTGATCCTTCTACCTACAACTTCTGCATAGCTGGGATTACAGACGTGCATCATCATGTCTGGCTTATTTGTTAACATGGGGGAGTCTTGCTAACTTTTTGGCTAGGTTGGCCTCAAACCACAATCCTCTCAATCTCTCAGTAGCTGGAATTACAGATGTGAGCCACTGCACCTGGCCCTATTTCAAGATAACACTCAACAGGCAACTACAGTTGTCAGTCAGGATCTGTTTCCAGGCTCTGAGGACACCCAGATCCATGCATGCCCAGCTTCCTCTTGGTGTAGTATTTGCATGGCCTTCCACATGCATGCCTGCTTGCTTTCTTCAGGTATTTATGCTTGGTGGTACTGGAGTTTGAACTCAGGGCCTTCCATTTGCTAAGCAAACACCCTTCCACTTGAGCCACGCCCACAGCTCTTTTTCATACACTTTGAATCATCTTCTGATTATCTATAATACCTGGCACTGAGAATCTCAGTTTGGGGCCAACCTGGACAAAAAGTTAGCAAGACCCCATTTCAATCAGTAAGCCAAGCAGTGGCAGCATACGCCTGTAATCCCAGGCCAGAGGAAGGCGTAGATAGATCTGAGAACAACCCAGGCAAAACACAAGACGCTAGCTGAAAAATAACTCAAGGAAGGAAGGGCTCGGGCGTGACCACAGCACTTGCCTCACAAGCATGAGGCCCTGAGTTCAAACTGTACAACCGAAAAGAATATATACATTTTTTCTGCTGGCACAAACCTCCCTGGCCTAGGCCTGATTCATGTCAGTTGGCAGGGGCCCCACACGTAACTGAGTCAGAGAAAGTGGCACAAAAGCCACATGAGAGGTTTCAAAAACAAAATTCCCAAAGCCCCAAGAGATTTTGCTTCCGCCAAATGAAGAAACTAAGCAAAACTTTACAAACTGTTACATTGCACAACAGCCGACACACAATTGCCAGAGTCAGGCGAGAAATGAGAAGTCTTCGGGAAATTAAGTCTAAAAATACTCGGTGTGAGTTGGACACGACATCCCGTGTATATTACTGAATTTCTAGAGAAACCTGTTTCGACATTATACACCTCTTGTGGCCCAAACTCTGCATTTTCTTCCTGAGAAATTTCTAGTTGTCATCCTAGCTACTTGGGAGGCAGAGAGAGAAGGATCTCAGTCTGAGGCCAGCTGTGGTCAAAAGCACAAGACCCTATCACAAAAATAACTAAAGCAAAAATGGCCTGGAGGAGAGGCTCAGGTGATAAGAGTACCTGCCTAGCAAGTGCGAAACCCTGAGTTCAAATCCCAGCCCCACCCCACCCCCCAGGAAAAGGAAGCAGAGACCAGAGCTCTATTTTTAGTGCTTTTTTGGGGGGGGGCGGTACTAGGGTTTGAACTCAGGACCTCACACTGCCAGGCAGGCGCTTTAGCCATAAGTTAAGTTGTCCCTAGGGAGGGTTTCGCTGTGACATCTCCATACCTGCAGTGGGATCTGTGGTTCTGTCCGCCCCATCCATCGCCCTTCTTTCCCCTTCCGCTTTCTCCATTTGGTTATTTTGTGGTGCTTTCCCCTGGCTTCCACAAAGGACAGAAAACCTTTCCCTCTGCAGGGCTGGCTTATTTCACTTAGAATGATGGTCTCCACTCCCATCCATTTTCTGACACGATTTCACTCTTCTTAATGGCTGAGTAAGACTCCACTGTGTACGAAGACCACGTCGATCTGTTGATAGGCACCGAGAAACAGATCCCCACTTCCCTTTTCTCCCCAGAACACACTTTGCCCCATATTCTTCCTCTGTGTTTGTCATGGCTTTAGTCCTCCTTCTAATTACAGAAAACAGCCCTCAGCCGTGCCCCTGAGAAAGGTCAGAGCTGGAAGAATCCACAAGGTTGAGCACCTTGTCCACCTGCTCAACTCCACATTTCCCAGAGGAAACTGAGACCCAAAAGATAACCGACTGTCTGACGACCACAACATGGCCCAGGAAATGCAGAGCCCACCCAGCTCCCACCCAGAGCCCATCCTCTGGAGGAGGTGGACACTGTAGCCACAGTGCCCCACGCAAGGCCCATTGAGCTCTGAAGTTCAAAACACATGTTTAGCCAGGTACAGTGGCTCACGCCTGTAATCCTAGTTACTTAGGAGGCTGAGATGAGGGGGGTCACAGTTTGAGGCCATCCTGGGCAAATAGTTTACGAGACCCCCATCTTCAAAATAACCAGAGCAAGCTCAAGCAGTAGGGTGCCTGCTTGGGAAGTGTGAAGTCCTGAGTTCAAACCCAGGTCCTATCACAAACAAACAGAAAAACAAAAACCCACATTTGGCTACAGAGCTCTCTTCCTTCCTTAGATCAAGGAAGTAGAGAGAGCTAGATGGTGCAGTGAGCAGAAACGACACATGGAGACCATCAAGATGCACCGCCTCAAAGAGCTGGCCTTCCAGATGAGAAGGACGACAAACCGATGCACACATGCTGGAGCCAGTGGAGAAACTGCAGAACAAGCTGAAAGTCTGCAAGCGGCAGAACGAGGAGGTGGGGGGTACTCTTGAGCCTCCCACTCCTCCAGCCCAGCCCAGCTCATCACCAGCCTTGCCAAGAACTAACCAGGGAGAGGAGCAGCAACTGGCCCAAAGCTGGGTATGGTGATACATGCCTGTAATCCCAGTTACTTGGGAGGCAAGATTGGGAAGATTGTGGTTTGCAGTCAAAGTTAGGGAGACCCTGTCTCAAAAACATGGTTCTTACTAGAAAGACCACAATGCAGTGTGAAGGCCATGAGAAGAGAAATGTGTGGTGGGGCTGGAAAAAGTGCTAAACCCTCACCTTCCATGACAGGGCAGTAATAAATAAAACCAAAAACCACGTTACAGAGGCAGCCACAGATGCACATTTCATGTAGAAATATGGATGTCATGGCCAAAGAGAACCAGCAGGAAGGGTTGAAGCAGTTGTCTCTGGCGAGCCCTCCACCCAGGACTGCTCTTTTGTAGCAAGCCTTATAGAACAAGTGGACTCAGACATTCATGCAGAACTGATATGAATGAACACCCTTGCCGGGCACAGTGGCTCATGCCTGTAATCCCAGCTACTCAGGGATGAGTACACTGAGCAAAAAGCTCTCAAGACTTCATTTCAACCGATAAAAGCTGCATGTTGGGGTCACACCTGCCATCCTAGCTACACAGGAAGCATAAATAGGAGATTGCAGTCCAGGCTGGCTGAGGCAGAATTGTGATACTGTATTTGAAAAATAACTAGGTCGTAAAGGGCTGGTGGAGTGGCTCAGATGGTAGAGCACCTGCCTAGCAAGTGTGAGGACCTGAGTTCAAACCCCAGTGCCGCCCTAAAAAGGGAGGAAAGAAGAAGTAGGTGTGGATTTGCGTCTCCCCTTCCCTTGCTGTCACAGTTCCAGTCTCTCTCAGACCCTGAGCTCACACACAGGGCCCCTACCCCTAGCAAAATGGACGGAAGGTGTGGCTCAAGTAGTAGAGCACAGAGCACTTGCTTTGCAAGGGTGAGCTCTGAGTTCAAACCCCAATCACACACATACACAAAATGGTTGAAATTTTCTAACAGCTACCATTTCTTGAGCACTGAGTGCAGGTGGGATTTTAGGACAGCTTGAAATGAAAATAGTCCTTTTAGCTGGGCGTGGTGGCTCACTCCTGTAATCCCAGCACTTAGGAGGGAGAAGCAGAAGGATCATGAGTTCGAGGCCAGCTTGGGTTACACGTAGTAAGACCCTTCTCAAAAAGCCGACAACAAATAAAAGTCTTTTTTCATTCCCTTAACTCAGAACCAACTAAGGAAAAAATACAACAAATCCATAAAAGCTAAAATGCCAGGTTTTTTTCTCTTTTAGAGGTGCTGGGGTTTGAACTCAGGCCTTCAATGCTTGTAGGCAGGCGCTCTACCCCTTGAGCCACCCCACCAGTCCTAAAATGCCAGTTTTATGCTACAAGTGAAGACGAGGACGTGGCTCTAATGTGCGCTCCCGTGGGCGACCCTCATATTGTGTCATAATTACTTACGCTCGTAATTAAAGGTGCTGAGCTGACCACAGGGTGATGAAGAAGGCATGAGCCCTGCAGGCGGGTCTGAAGGAGAGCAGAGACGGCTCTGCCTGCTTTCCAGTCTCCTTCTGCAAATGCAGGGTAAGCCGCGCCTCTCCCCGGCACAGGAGCAAGGGGAGGTGAGGACAGGCAGGGAACAGAACTGTGGTTTCCAAATGGGCCTCCAGGATCAGCAGCCTCCCAGGTCACCGGAAGTAGGTAGCTGGTGGAGAGGCTCAAGTGGTAGAACGACTGCCTAGCAAGTGTGAGGTCCTGAGTTCAAACCCCAGTACCACAAAAAACATAAATGAAAAGAAGAAGAAAAAAACCGCTGACCCCGTCTCAACCAATGAGCCAGGCATGGTGGTGTGCGCCTGTCACCTCAGCTATGCAGGAGGTTAGAGGTTAGAGGCTAGACCCAGGCAAAAAATGTGAGACCCTGCCTGAAAATAATGAAAGTGAAAAGGGCTGGCGCAGTGGCTCAAGGGGTAGAGCGCCTCTGAGTTCAAAACCCAGTACTTCCAGAAAAAAAAAAAAGAAATAATCAATCTGTCATTCATTCTTTGTCTCTCTGTGTCCCTCTGTCTGTCTCTCTCATCCAGGGGGATCAGATCTCAACAGCAGTCCGCTGAGAGGAAGAAAATGGGAAGTAGATAACTCAGTGTGTCCTGAAGCTAGTGCGAGATCAGTGCTGAAGAGTAAAGACAGCTATGGTGTGGGGAGAGTTGGGGTGCAGCAGCAGCCTCTACAGGAACCAAGCTTAGCGTGGCTTCCCTGACACCGCACCAAGCATCCGAGTGACAGTAGCAATGGGTCTGTTCACGTCAAGGATGGAGTGTGTGACGTCTGTGACCTGGTTGTTCTCTGGAAAGAACCCCTCAAGTTGACAACTGCAGTCCTAGCAAAGCTTAAATCCGAGAAACATGAAGAACAGACTGACTTGAGCTCATTTTTCTTTTTGTGTGTGTGGGGGGGAGGGTGGGTAGGTTCTGAGATAGTTTGCCCTTGACCTCACAATCCTCCTGCCTCTGCCTCCGTGAGCGCTGGGATTATAAGCATGCACTACAATGCCCAGACTGTTTGGTGTTTTTTTTTGCGGTACTGGGGTTTGAACTCAGGACTTTGAGTTCTACCACTTGAGCCACTCCTCCAGCCTCTAGAGCTTATTTTAAATGAAGAAATTTCGTTTTCCCAAGACTGCCAAATCTGAATGCCCTTTTCACAATTGCCACATCCACCACTACGGAAAGCCTGCATCCTAATCCACAGGCGTGTCTGACTGGAAGCCATGAACACTGAGCAGTCTAGTCGGGATTCGTTTCAGATGTTGAAGTGATGGAGTCCTCCAAGGGCACGTGAAGATCCATCCGGCCTAACACCCAACATGGCTGCTGCCTGCTCTGCCTCAGGCTCCCCCAGGGTGCTCGGTGAGGGTCAGCACCACGACACGGGCAGTGTTATGTGTTTAGTTCACAGCTATGCCTCAGCAACTAGATACGGACAGCCCTAAAACGGGTACATAGTAAACACACTGAGAGCGAGTGTGAACGAGCGATAGAACAAGCTGCCTCGCAAGGTAATCCTTCTGGAATTTGCCAGAATGTTCTTTTTTGTGTGGTACTGGGATTTGAACTCAGGGCCCCAGGCAGGTGCTCTACTGCCTGAGCCATGCCCCCAAGCATCAGAATGCTCTTAGATCAAGCCAAGACCTGGCCCCTGCTGGCTGTCACGTGATGGGCCTACCCACCCCGAGAACAGTTCTGCTGAATATTCCTCCAGCCTTCCCTGGTTCACAGGGTTTCCACTCGCCGCTCTAACACTCTGACCCTGTCTGTTCCTTTCTGCCCTTTCCTCCTTCCCCTTCCCTGTCGCTGGACCCAATGTGAAAACACTGCCCTCTGGTGGCGGGGTCTCTAACTGCTGCGTGTGAACTTCCTGGGAGACCCAGAATCGTAGGAGGTTACAATGGTGGGCTAAAAGAACATTCAGAGGGGTGTGTAGGGCAACTCTCAGTCAGCTGTGGACTCCCCGACAGGAAATCCTTGAAAAAACAGCATCCAAATTTCTACTTGAACTCTGCCAGTGCAAAAAAAGGCAGCCCATTTTACTTTTGACGGTGCTCAGTGGTCAGAAGGCCCCACTTGCTACTGAACCAGAACACATCACACGGTATTGTCCCTTTAGTTTCAGTCTTCACATCTACGACTCCAATCATATCTTCTAGATATTAAGAGATGGTTCTTCACTTCTAAATCTGCACACTGTGAAGTCAGACAGCTTTGGGTCCTGGGAGTGTGACCCAGAGCAACCTGTTCCTTACCTGTTCAATGAGGAACCTGTCTCATAGGAATGTGACATTTAGATAACTCGCCATAGTGATCAAACACCTGCCAAGTCTCCCTGAGCATTCTGTGAGACTCCAACACTTGTCCCCAGGCCGATCAGTCCAGCAGGTGCCAGCCTGGGCCTCTTGCTGGAGAAATGTGGGGACGCTCCCTGCGGCTTTAAGACCCTGCCATGATTTCCTGGAGAAGGATGGTCCACCCATGTTCTCCCTGTATGCTCAGGGAGTTCCAAAGCAGCCCCTTGCAGGGGGCAGGGACCAGATGCAGATAGACTGCATGACCCATCCAAGTCCATAACAGCAGGGCCAGGAATTCCTTGTAACCTGAGAGGAGATGAGGTTTCCCACCTAGTCTTTATAAGAAAATGGACTCACTCTCACGTACTCTTTCTTTTTTTGGTGGCACTAGGATTTG